CAGACTGTCGCCTACTTTGCTCACTTTTAGGAAATCTCTGAAAATCTATTTATCCTGCCCTCAGCTAATAATGGAATCTTCTACTCTTCCAACCAGTCCATCCCCCACAGTTACTACCTTTTGTACCACTAGCCCCTCCCTCCTAGATTGTAAGCTCCAAGGAGCAGGGCCCTCCTATCCCTCTTGTATTGAACTGTATTGTTACTGTATTGTCTCCCGTTATATTGTAAAGCGCTGAGAAAACTGTTGGCCCTATATAAATCCTGTATTATAATAATGAGTTGGAGCGACTTCAGTAGTGCTGATTGAGACATCTCTCATTGACTTACATAGGATTCCACATGTCATGTGACTTGGGTTCTCACAAGTCGATCCCAAGTCGCGGCAGTGTGAACTGAGCCTCGGGGCTAATGGAAATTACTGTACAGGCACAACCAACACTCAGTGAGATTTCTGCATCCAAGACCTAAACTCTATGGTACTGCCACAGAACAGAGAGTATGACTACAATCTGGGGTGAATTCACTTCACCTAAACATGGAAGGGGGGCTCGACGTTTTATAGAGGAATTTTAGTTGTAATTTAAAGCCCAACTCCAGTCATAACTTTTTTTTTTTCTTGGCGTTTTGGATACAGTGAGGAAGGATTACTTTTAATGGTTTGTGCTTCTATTGAGGGTGGGGCATTCCAATGATTTCCTTTCATGACAAGAAGTAGTGGGAAATCTGTCCAATCAAGACACAGGCTGCAACAAAGCACTTTTCAGTTAAAAAGAAAAAAAATGGGGGGTTATTATTACTGCCCATGTCTTCCTGTCCCAGTGACAACTGCTTCCCCTTATTAAGGGACAGGAAGAAGAATGAAATCTCCTAAATGGGGTTACAGCAATAGGAGGTTGACAGTGTTTGCTATTCACTAGTTTATCCAAAACCACCCAAAGAAATTGGCTGGAGTTGTGCTTTAAAGTGCAGGTAGTGTGTTAAAACATGGCTGTCCTGCTAATCTCCAGGTACCATTGCTATCTGATACTTCCTGGTGTGTCAGATAATGTGTTCCGCACTGAATCCTGCTGACCATACATTATCAATGTGGGGTTTATTTACTAAAGCTGGAAAGTGAAAAATCAGGCTTACTTCTGCATAGAAACCAATCGGCTTCCAGGTTTTTTTCCCAAAGCTTGATTGAACAAGCTGTGGTTAGAAGCTGATTGGCTACCATGCACAGCTGCACCAGATTCTGAGTGAACCAGCTTCAGTAATTCTCCCCTCTGCCTGCCAGAGAGATCATTGTAAACTTTCATTTACAAGGCAACAGGGTCACTTCAAAGGAAACCTGTATTTCAAAAAACACAAAGGTTGCCCTATCCTTCTGAAACAAATCACTGTTTGGCTATCATGCTTCAATTGTTTTTTAAGGCACTGACCCAACACAAGCTTGCAGATCCGAAGTTCTGACTGGAGTATTGAAGCCAGTGATGGCAGGAAATGCTCATTGGTAACATAGCAATGGACACCACCTTATCTCTTCAAGTTCAGATTTCCTTTAACCTGGACTAGGCAAAGTAAGAGGTTTTCTTGATGGAAGGATCAACAAGAAGTCTTATAGTCCAATCATTAGGAATGCACACGTGACAGAACTTTGATCTGGTGATTGGCTGCTTTAGCACCTTACATGGCCCTGGTGGTACAAGGATAGTGTAAATTGTTCCCTGATATTTGGAGATTCCAGGTTTTTGGCAAGCTGCATTGGCCGATAGGGGTAAAAGGGATAAATTGGTGAAGTCTACTGTCAAGAGGACCTGCATTTTTGCCCACTCTGTATTTTCAAAGGAACCAAATTAATGCTTTTACAAAAAATGGGATTTTTTTTAAAAATGAAATAAGTTAACCCTATCCTTTAAGCAATAACCTGGAAACCTCCAGCCTACACCTGTGATATTCTGTATAGACTTGCGTATAATGTATTTATATGTACTGTGTAAAAGAAGAAACAAACTTGCACATACTGTATAAATTGTAGTGTGTACCAGACTTTTGTGTATGTTACTTATTGTACACTCCGCTCTACTAGTGATTTAGAACTCCAATAGTATTCAACAATAAGAATGTTTATTATAGGAATCATACACCATTTATACCAACATACAATAAACAGTTGTTACAAAAAGAATTCTTGTGTTGGATGTTTAAAACCTGAAGAATGAGATCTGTCTAGGAAGGTAGAGACAGCACATGGCAAGTGTTGTGGGTTGTTGAGACACCAATAGCTGCCACAGCCTCAGCTGGTCCAGATACTGATAGAATTTTTACATTTATGACAGAAATACAAAAAAAAGCCCAAAAACCAAACAGCACTGCTGTTTACAGATAGGACATGAGAAGAGAAAATCAGTAGACTCTTCTCTCCACTCTAAACAGTATGGATGGATAAATCTTCCCTGCCAGCTTTTGTATTCGGGTGGCTGCTTGAATAGCTGAATAGTGACTGCAACTGATTGGGTGCAGTCACTGTTTTCCACCCAGCTCTTTTGGTTTTTTCACTCGGCCTTTGTCAAGTGAAGTGGTGCAGACGGGGCCACCCGCAACTTAAACTTTAGACAATTTAGCAGGATTAGGCTTGAAATTGGAGCTGTTCATAGCTACCAGTATGTCACGGCCTACTTCCTTGTTTAGGATGCGGTCCTTCCGCTGGCATCTGCTGTGATTGTACACAGCAGGGGCCTGTCAGCAAGTCCCGGCCAATGGTTCACGGCTGGGACCTGCTGATCAGCTGTGTACAATCACAGCCCAGAGCTCTGTGTTAACAATCAACTCTACAGTTGCAGATGACACCAAGCTGTGCAGTGGAATAACATCTTTACAGGATGTCTTCAACTTACAAGCTGACCTCAATGCACTGTTTAATTGGGCAACTATGTGGAAAATGAGGTTTAATCTTGATAAATATAAGGTGATACACTTGGGGGCTAAGAATATGCATGCATCATAAATACTAGGGGGAGTACAACTGGGGGAATCAATGGTGGAGAAGGATCTGGGGGTTCTGGTAGATCACAAGCTTAATAATGGCATGCCATGCCAAGCTGCGGTTTCTAAATCAAGCAAAATCCTCTCTTGTATTAAAAGAGGTATAGACTCCGGAGAGAGAGATATCATATTACCCCGATACAAATCATTAGTAAGACCTCATCTGGAATATGGAGTTCAATTTTGGGCACCAATTCACAAAAAGAACATTGGGGAACTGGAGAAAGTACAGAGAAGGGCAACTAAACTGATAAGAGGCATAGAGGAGCTCAGCTATGAGGAAAGATTAGAGGACCTGAATTTATTCTCTCTTGAGAAGAGGAGATTAAGGGGGGATATGATCAACATGTATAAATACATCAGTGGTTCATATAAACACTGAGCTACAAATGCTCAGCTCAGTGTGCATCCCTGGCACACTCCAGTTGTGTCGGAATGGCAGATTCTCATGCACATGTGCGAGATGACTTCATTCCCTGACCAGCCAATTGGGATGCCAAAAGCCTGGCACCCAGAAAATAGCTGGGGAGAAGATGACAACAGCTGGTGAGGGATTCAACTGGAATGGCACTGCTGGAACAGTAAATGGGAGGACATTTATAAACCTGTTACAAGACAATTTTATGGTACAGTTCAGAGAGGCCCCAACTTGAAACGATGCTCTGCTGGTCATTAGTAACACCTCATCTGGAATATGCAGTTCAGTTTTGGGCACCAATTCACAAAAAGAACATTGGGGAACTGGAGAAAGTACAGAGAAGGACAACCAAACTGATAAGAGGTATGGAGGAGCTCAGCTATGAGGAAAGACTAGAGGAACTGAATTTATTCTCTCTTGAGAAGAGGAGATTAAGGGGGGATATGATCAACCTGTATAAATACATAAGGGGGGATATGATCTCAATGTATAAATACATCAGTGGTTCATATAGTGAACTCGGTGTAGAGCTATTCACCCTGAGGTCATCACAGAGGACAAGGGGGCACTCTTTACGTCTGGAGCAAAAGACATTTAATCTCCAAACATGGAAAGGTTTCTTCACAGTGAGAGCTGTAAAAATGTGGAATAGATTCCCTCAAGAGTTGGTTCTAGGCAGCTCAGTGGATTGCTTTAAAAAAAGACCTAGATTCCTTCTTAGATACACAGAATATAACTGGATACTAACATTTATAGGTAAAGTTGATTCAGGGAATATCCAGTTGCCTCTCGGGGGATCAGGAAGGAAATTTTTTTCCCTGCGGGAGGAACTTGTCTCATGCTTTGCTGGGTTTTTTTGGCTTCTTGTGGGTATAGGATTATATTTTTTTTTTAATGGCTGTACTGGATGGACCTTTGTCTTTTTTCAGCCAGACTAACTATGTATGTAGAGAGAGATTGATCTCTCCGATTCTCATCCCTACTTTAGACTGAGATATCATTAGTAAAAAAGCAACACACTTTACCCATAGTAAACAAAGTAGGCACACATTTAACCCCTTGATCGCCCTGGATGGTAACCCCTTCCCAGCCGGTGTCATTAGTACAGTGACAGTGTACAATATCATTTATCACTGTATTAATGTCACTGGTTATGTCAGTGACAGTTCCCCCCGCCGTGTTGGATTGCCCGCCACGCTATTGCAGTTATTTCATTTATATCGCAAAAAATAAAAACAGTGTTGATCAAATGCCAACAAAAGAGAGCTCTATTTGTGTGAAAAAAATTATATAAATTTTGTTTGGGCATGACCGTGCAATTACCAGTTAAAGTATCACAGGGCTGAACAGCAAAAAATGGCCTGGTCATGAAGGGAGTACAACCTTTCAGAGTGGGTAAGTGAAAAGGAGTTTACATTTTTACTTTTGGAGAACCTATTCCCGATCATACATGGGCACATCCCTCATCTAGAACGATGATAAATAATCTTTCATTAGTCACAGATTTTTGCAACACGTTGTAGAGAGTTGCTCCAGTGATTGAGACCTGGATGGACCTACTTCTTAGTTTTGAGGAATGGTTCATGTAGAGTATCAAACAGTCTCTTTGCCTAGAAGGAGAAGGAAATGTGATGTTAAAGTATGTCTAAGCATAACAACAAAATGTTTTCATTTGCTGATCCTGCCCTGATTTTCTCAAACAGAAATACCGTATCTCTTTCAATGGTATATTTAACAGCCCAAAATGGGGAGGGGGGGGACAGACAAAGTCCACTGTAAAGGTTTCAGACAAAAAGCAGATCTGAAAGCTGATCATTCAAATAAACCAGAAAAAAACATGGGCTGTCATTGCCAACTTTCTACCTGTTTGCTGTCCTGTGCCATTGGTCTCAATACTTTGAGCCACAGGGGACAATTTCACAAAGCAGTATCTGACCGCATCCAAGTATGCGGTAAGATATAGCACAGTATCTTTCAAAAAAAAAAATTAAAAAAAAAAAAAAAAAATGGCATGAGTTAGTCTTGCGGTATTTTAGTAGTGAAAACGTGGTAATGTGATGAGTCATCAGCTGTCAACTGCATGTAAACAAACAAAAAAAAAAAGAATTGCAATTAAAAATGGCATGTGAACTTCCTCCACGCCCCCCCCCCCCCATCCATCCATCCATGCCAAGCTTGGTTTGGTATGCAGTTTGAGGGGAACCCCCCAATGCAAAAAAAAAACATTAGGAGGTGGAGTCCCCCCAAAATCCATACCAAACCCTTATCCCAGCATGAAAGGTCAGGAATGGAGGGTGATCAAGCACCCCCTTCCCTCCTCAACCACATCAGGCCAAATTCCCTTGTGATTGACGATGGATCTACACCGGGGGGGACGTTTTTTTAAATTTTTATGTAAGTTTTTTTTAATAAAGGACTTGTCAAAAACTGCCCCCTGTGTTTTTATTACACTACACTTTTTTTTTTGGTGAATGAGTAGGGGTACCTGGGGGGTCGCCTTGTTAAAGGGGGCTTCCAGATTCTGATTAGCCCTCCGCCCGCAGACCCCCACAACCACCAGCCAGGGTTGTGGGGAAGAGGCCCTTGTCTCCATCAACATAGAGACAAGGTGTAATGGATGGGGGGGGAATCCAGCTGACGACTTAGCAATAGTGGAGTGACATTTTCAGTATTGCGTGTGATATGTGGTCACCTGACTGACATAATGCATGCGATAACCTTTACTGAATTGTCCCCACTGACGCAGAGAAAAACCAGCAACTAACATTTTTTCATTAATAACAAATACTTCATACAGTCTACGTCAGGGGTCAAACTGTGGCCCGCCGAAGCCATTTATCCGGCCCACCAGCAGGGGCGTATTTTCTGCGAGGACGGGGGGCTGCTGTACCTTACCTGGCTCCGGTCCCAGTCCCACGACGATCCAGTCCAGGAAGCGCTGCTCCTTCACTCCGGCCACTCCCTCACTCCTGCCGCTCGGCTCTGCCTCCTCACCGGTGATTGGGAGCCAGAACTGTAGCTCAGGAAAGGCACACAGGCGGCCAATCACCTGCAAGGAGGCGGAGCCGAGCGGCCCCACTAACATCGAGTGAGGGAGAGGCCGGAGTGAAGAAGGACAGCTGACAGGTAAATGTGCCGTGCTGATGGTGCTGCTGCAACCAGGTATGCTGGCTGCAGCAGCACCATGCTGGAGCAGGGGTCAGCAAGTTAAGTGTCATTGGTGTCAGTGGGAGGAATAGTGCCCCATCATTGGTGTCACTGATACTAATGATGGGGCATTATTCCTCCCACTGACACCAATGATAGGGCACTATTCCTCCCCCCCACTGACACCAACGATGGGGCACTATTCCTCCCCCCACTGACACCAATGATGGGGCACTATTCCTCCCACTGACACCAATGTTGGGACACTATCCCCCCCAATGACGGGGCACTATTCCCCCCCCACTGACACTGACGTACTATTCCTCCCACTGACAACAAAGACGGGGCACTATTCTTCCCACTGACAACAAAGACGGGGCACTATTCTTCCCACTGACAACAATGATGGGACACTATTCCTCCCACTGACACCAATGATGGGACACTATTCCTCCCACTGACACCAATGTTGGGACTCTATCCCCTTCCCCCACTGACACCAATGACGGGGCACTATTCCCCCCCACACTGACACCAACAATGGGGCACTATTCCTCCCCCCCCGCTGACACCAATGATGGGGCACTATTCCTCCCCCCGCTGACACCAATGATGGGGCACTATTCCTCCCACTGACACCAATGATGGGGCACTATTCCTACCACTGACACCAATGAAGCTTTAACCAGACACTGCTAGTCAAAAGACTGCTGTAACTGCTAATGAGAAAAGGTATTTAGCAGGTTATACTTCTTACAATATTTGCATTTCCATGTAGTGTGTACTCTGTGAGACCGAATATAGTGAATGCAGGGTCCTGGGTTTAGCAACGCTTTAAGATTTTATAAAACATATCTCAAAAAGATTGAATTCAGCTGTGCAGGATTTACTCAAGAGACAAGACTTGAATTCTACCACTTTACAAAGTTTGGCCATAACTTGAATATGCTGTCCAGTTCTGGTCACCAATCCTCAGGAAGGATGTGCTTGAACAAGAGAGCATCCAGAGAAGGTTAACCGCTTACCCGCCGGCGTATAGCAGATATACTGCTACACGGCAGCAAGGGTCCGCAAAATCGTGTATATATACACGTGATTTAGCATTTCTGGTTAGGGAGCACGCACGAGCCCTACCTGCGCCGCCATTCATGGCCACGGATTTCAATCACAGTGTCCCGCCCGCTAATTACCGACAGTCTTCTTCCCTGTCAGCTCAGGCACACTGCTCGTGATGGCTGTGCACAGCATAGATGACACTGTACAGTGGGCTCTGGAATCCACCAGATCACTTCCATCCAAAAGCGGATAGTTGGCTTGTGATGTTAAATCCCCCAAACAAATATCAATTTTCTAAATTACTGTTAGATGATTTCACATCAGTTGGAAGAGCTGCATACCAATGTGAATGTTAATAAAAGTTCTGTTTAAAGTGGTTATAAAGCCTAAACATGTTTTGGCATCAGTATCGCCCCCCCATACTTGTCTAAGCCCTCATTCGATCCAGCACTGTCCGCAGCTCTTCTCTCCCCTCACTTCCTGCTCTCACAGGCTTTGCTGAGGCTGCTGTCAATCCAAGCCAGTGACAAGAAGGAGGGGGCTAGCACTGAGTCCTGCTCTTTGTGTCTATGGACACAGACAGCGGGATTCAGGAGTGAGCCCACATGAATGCCCTCATAGGAAGTGCCTTCCTATGGGGACACTTGCCTGAGAGGAGAAGCTAGGAGCACTGGCGGGGAACCCAAGAAGAGGAGGATCAGGGCCACTCTGTGCAATTCCATTGCACACAGCAGATAAGTATAACCCAGATTATTATTTTTTTTAAAAAATGCATTTACAGCCACTTAAAGTTATTTTCTACAAATAGGCAGCAGCAGCTATTGCTTGTTTTAGGTATCATGCGCTGGCACCAAGATTAGCAGGTGGGTGTGGAGGGCTGGGAACAAAGAGCAAAGATCTCACAGTCAAATTCTTTTGAATCTAGTGGTGCACCGAAATGAAAATACTGGTGCCGAAACCAAAAATTAAAAATGCACTTGGCCGAAAACTGAAATGCGCAATTTTTAAAAATCAATATATATTTTTTGGAAAAAAAATACAATTTGATTAAAAAAAACATTATATACCCCAATTTTTGTAAAATATGAAAGAGGATGTTACGGTGAGTAAATTGATACCCAACATGTCACGCTTTAAAATTGCGCATGCTCATGGAATGGCGTGAAACTGTGGTACTTAAAAATCGCCATGGGTGATGCTTTAAAAATTTTTTTACAGATTAGCAGTGTAAAGTTACTAGTGCGAGAATTATTGCTCTTGCTCCAACGTTCATGGCGATACCTCACGTGTGGTTTGAACACCATTTACATATTTGGGCATGTCTTACGTATATGTTCACCACTATGTGCGAGCACGGGGGACGGGGGCACTTTAAAATGAAAAAAAAAAAAAAACGCTTCAGCCACCAAAATTTCGGTGCATCCCTAATTGAATCCATTTGTAATTTAGTGTTCTTGCATGGATGGACTCTTCGTAACATCACAGTAATGTGCACCGAGCATTCAAAATGCGAGGCAGACATTACAGCTTCGCTTCACTTGGCAATAGTACTTACTTTCTGTGGTCCAAATCCTGGGCACAGGGACAAGTCTTCTCGAGAGGCACTGGCAAGGTCCGAAAGAGTCTGGAGGTAAAGATACAGCAAGAATTTTTTAAAGGGAAACAATGGCTGTCTTTCCAATCAGCACAAATTCAGTTCTAACTATCTAGAACTATAATATTTAAACTCAAAGTAATGTTTTAACCACTTCCAGTCCGGATACTTTCACCCCCTACATGTCCAGGCCAATTTTCAGCTTTCAGTGCTATCACACTTTGAATGACAATTGCGTGGTCATGCAACACTGCACTCATATTCATTATTTAGCATCTTTTTGAGACACATAAAACTTTATTGTGGTGGTATTTATTCACCACTGGGATTTTTATATTTTTGCTATATAAATGAAAAAGTCAAAACATTTTGAAAAAAAAGGGGTTTTCTAAAATTTTGCAAATAAATCTTTCTTCATAAATCTTGGCCAAAATGTATTCATCTGCCTTTTTAGTAAAAAATATAACCCAAATTAGTTTAAAACAAAAAATTATAATTTTTCAAATTTTTTTTTAACATACTGTCACCCTAGCAGTACAGTGTCACCATGGTGACACTGCACTACTTGTGGGGGGTGATGAAGATTTTTTTTTTCCTTTTTTAACGCTGATTGCGTTTACACCCATAAAAGCTGTAAAAGCAATCATTTCTCCTTCTCTCTGGCTGCATTCCTGCAGCCCTTGAGAGATATTGTGCGAGCTGTGATTGGTCACAGCTTGTCACATGGTACCATGTGATCTCTGTGATAATTTACAGATTTCACAAGTAGTAAGCAATGATATCAGGAAGCGACATCTTGTTTACTACTGTTGATGTGATCACCGATTGGCCAATCAGTGATCACATGACTCGTGACTGCACATAGAGGTCCCCCGTACAGCAATCTGTGTTCTGCTGTGTCCGGACGACACAGCGGGCACCGGATTACGGTGCTGCGCGCTCCCAGGAAGCACGCACAGGCAGTGAATGTGGGTGACGTTTAGAAACGTCAACCCGCTTCGGCAGCACTCTCATCCACCCGTTTATCTACATGTGCCGAACGGGAAGAGGCTAAGGTAATTTGAGCTCCATGCATACTATCATTTCCATAGAAGCTGTTATTAGCATTTTTTTTCTGCTTCTAGATAGTGTTCTAAATAGTGTTCTCCTATGTGTCCATGCACACTACTTTAGGCTATTAGCATTTTCTGAGCTTCAGCATCTAGGAGCAGAAACAAAATAGTGTTTGCCAAGTTTTTTGGAGTGTTTTTCCAGCAGAAAAAAAAACGCTAAACGTTTTTTTTCTACATGTACTGTAAAAATGCTAATAAAACACTAATGCTCCTAAACATTTCTAAACACAAGTAAACCACTACAAAAAAAAAAAAGCCATTACCAGCACTTTTTGAGCTTATAAAAAGTGCTAGTGTGCATGGAGCCTTAGGCCGGCCATACACATGTGGAATTCTGGAAGAATTTTCTTTCGAAAATCTTTTCTAAGAATTTTCGTTCGAATTTTGCACCATTAGTGGGTCACAGAAACGGCCAGTTTTCATGTGACCATCAAATATGAGTGATCGGCCATGTTGGAATTCGAATGAATTTTGAATCAATGATGGGAGAATCGTGCAAGAAATATAAAGCTGTGACCTGGAAAGAAAAGAAAATTCCTGGCCACGAAAATTCTTTTCCGTAGCAAGATGAGGAGAAATTGGAGGCTTGGTTGAATTTCAAAATCAATCGCATTACAAAATGCTCGTTCAGAATTCAACCCATGTATGGCCTGCATTAAACATTTTGATGTACCATATTACATACTTAATCAGGCTTGTTTACACTTACATTGGTCCCTGAAAATCCACTATGGAGAGAGTATTACAGAAGTGGACGACAGGCATTCAGGAGGCAATACTGCCACCTCCTTAATGTCTTTTTTTTTTTTTGCAAACAATGGGGCTTTTGAATGAGAATACTGTGCAGGAACTGAGTCTAGCATTTGGCATAACAGAGGTGTACTTCATCTGGCTGTACTGTTATTTTAAGGGGTGGACTGTCTGGGAGTTGGAGGGCTTAACCGCCTATTGGTACTGCCCCCCCCAATGCTAGTATTAAAGAGCCCTTACATATACAATATTGTGCATTCTTCCACCACTGGCCATTGGCATTTCATTGCAATCACTCATTCCCCCAGGCCCACTAGAGCTGAGATAATATCTATTGTTATTTCTGGTGTAAGGTACTGTACCACATCGAATGGTTGTGCAACAGTGCTGCAATGCAATACACACCGGTTGGCATGGTGCGCTGGGTTGCCATTAAAGTGTTACTAAACCCAGGACCCTGCATTTACTATATCCGGTCTCTCCCGGACCCTGCATTCACTAGATTTGGTCTCCTACAGTACTCAGAACATGGAAATGCAATTATTTTAGTAAATATAAACTGCTAAATACCTTTTCTTATCAGCAGTTAGAGCAGTCTTGTGACTTCTATCAGTGTCTAGTCGAGCACATGTTAAAACTTGTAGGACAAGTTTTCATTTTGCTCTAAGGATGCAGAACCTCTAACCTCTGTCTGGACAGTGCTGATTGGCCCTGTGCTGATCACATGCACTCTCCCAAGAAAACAAAAAACCTCTCTAGCCATACACACCAAACTGAGCATGTGCAGAGTGACTCTTCCCCGTCTTCTCAGGAGATAAGAGGGGGACACTGGAAGATGGGGAGGATCAGAGAAATCAGGCTCAAACAGCATTTTTACACAATGTGGAGGATTAACCCCTTAGGTTACACAGTGAGTATAATAAGCATCCTTTATTGCGTATAAAGACTGATTTTACTGTTGTGAGTTTAGTAACACTTTAAGAATGAATGGCACTGCAACACACCAACATGCAAAACGCGCGTGTTCACGCATTGCCTCAGCACGCGTAAAGCCTGCCTTACCAAACGAGCAGAGAATCTTCACACATTGATTTTAATGAGGATTTACATCAATTATCCAGTTATGTGAAAGGCATATTTAACTCATCTGTACATGAGTATCTATGTCTCATTCACTTGGGTGAAGATGAGTACCAATAGCGTGAACGGGCTGCAATGCACAAAACCTGTGTCACCGCATTGCAGGTGGTGTGAATGACTACAAAAAGGGATGTATCTCAGTCGTTCTATCAAAGAAGGAATTTCTGGAACCCAAGAATCTGAAGAATTGCCTTTAAGGTAGGCCGGCCATAGGTAGTTTGAACCGTCTGTGGGAAGGCTGACTGTACCAGATTCAATTTGTTTTGCGACTCGGGTACAACCAGCATGTCAGATGTTTCATGCGATTACTTCCATCAGCTATAGCCGTTTGCACTAATCATTGTGTTCTCCGGGGAGGGATGGCTCTTCCCCATGCACAGCCCCCCTCCACGCTGGGAGAACACCATAGCTCCATGGGAAGGATTCTCCCATTAACATCATATATCATTTTACCCCTGTACAAATCATTAGTAACACCTCATCTGGAATATGCAGTTCAGTTTTGGGCACCAATTCACAAAAATAAAATTGGGGAACTGGAGAAAGTACAGAGAAGGGCAACCAAACTGATTCGAGGCATGGAGGAGATCAGCTATAAGGAAAGATTAGAGGAACTGAATTCTCTCTTGAGAAGAGGAGATTAAGAGGGGATATGATCTCCATGTATAATTCATAAGGGGGGATATGATCACCCTGTATAATACATAAGGGGGATATGACCTCCATGTATAATACATAAGGGGGGATATGATCTACATGTATAATACATAAGGGGGGATATGATCTCCATATATAATTCATAAGGGGGGATATGACCTCCATGTATAATACATAAGGGGGATATGATCTCCATGTATAATACATTAACGGGGGATATGATCTCCATGTATAATTCATAAGGGGGGATATGATCACCCTGTATAATACATAAGGGGGGATATGATCTCCATGTATAATACATAAGGGGGATATGATCTCCATGTATAATACATAAGGGGGGATATGATCTCCATGTATATAATACATAAGGGGGGATATGATCTCCATGTATAATATATAAGGGGGGATATGATCTCCATATATAATTCATAAGGGGGATATGACCTCCATGTATAATACATAAGGGGGATATGATCTCCATGTATAATACATAAGGGGGGATATGATCTCCATATATAATTCATAAGGGGGGATATGATCACCATGTATAATACATAAGGGGGATATGATCTCCATGTATAATACATAAGGGGGGGATATTATCTCCATGTATAATACATAAGGGAAATATGATCTCCATGTATAATGCATAGGGGGGATATGATCACCATGTATAATACATAAGGGGGGGGATATGATCTCCATGTATAATACATAAGGTTGATATGATCTCCATGTATAATACATAAGGGGGGATATGATCTCCATGTATAAATGCACAAGTGGTTCATATAGTGAACTCGGTGTAGAGTTATTCAGCCTGAGGTCATCACAGAGGACAAGGGGGCACTCTTTACGTCTGGAGGAAAAGAAATTTAATTACCAAACACGGAACGGTTTCTTCACAGTAAGAGCTGTAAAAAATGTGGAATAGACTGCCTCAAGAGTTGGTTCTGGCCAGCTCAGTGGATTGCTTTAAAAAAGGCCTGGATTCTTTCCTAGATACACAGAATATAACTGGATACTAACATTTATAGGTAAAGTTTATCCAGGGAATATCCGATTGCCTCTCCGGGTATCAGGAAGGAATTTTTTTCTCTGCAGGAGCATATTGGATCATGCTTTGCTGGGTTTTTTTGCCTTCCTCTGGATCAACTGTGGGTGTAGGATTATAATTTTTTTTTTTTTTTTTAATGGTTGAACTGGATGGACTTTTGTCTTTTTTGGACTAACTATGTAACGCTGACTGTGTTGATGCAATTGAGCAATAATCTATGGCCAGCTTTAAGAAGACTTGCAGCAGTATTGGCCACAACATGACATTTGGCAGCAACATGCCGTGTAAGGTGCACAGGCAATGTTCTTCGGGATTAGCGGACAGCATATTTCTGGTGATGCCTTGTTTTACTCGCTGTGTTTCTTGTCTCTATAGGCTGTATCGAAGGCATGTGTTGTATAAAAGTGACATTGTACTAATCTGGTATGTTTAACTTGTATTTTTATTCACACAAAAAGGTACACTTATTTAACTCTTAATTCCACACAACTCACCCCAAACGTCGTAAGCAGTGTGCAGCTGTCTGTCTTGTTCACTGATTTCACTGTGGTAAGGCAATCTGTAATCTAAGGAAAAAAAAAGAAGTAAAGTGATCATTTATAGTTAATCAGGTAAATTGAATAAAAAGGTATCTAAGCACGGGTTACATTCTCCTCCCTGCGGTGCATGGAAAAATTCCCACTTGCTGCACCTTCTGCGCTTTTTTCAACATAGCGCACCTTCTATTTTAATGAATGGTAATGGGTCTAAAAACGGCAGCACCTCATATGCACATCAAATGTTCAAAGGTGCGATTGCCATCATAAAGTCAGCCTGTACTGGGAGGAATACTGACTGGGTGGTCATTGCTGACTTCTCCAGAGTAGTGGGCTGGCTCTTGGGGAGAATTTACACAACTGTCAAAATGCCTTGATGGGTGGATGGTAATCTGGAGGATTGGGCATCTCTAGTCAGGGACATTTGCCTTCAGACTGCCCTTTTCAACACCCACCAGTGATGCTGAGTCTCCATTAGTGAAAGAGATAAAATCCAATTAACAAAAAGGGCGAGCCAGGGAAGAGTTGGTCTGGACCTAGACCTGATGCTGGATGTCCTCTAGCAAGGACAACAAACATTCCCAGGTACAACTATAAAGGTAAAAAGGGCGAAAAACACATCAAAGTGAATTACAAGAAGAATTTAACCCCTTCACACCTAAGGGTAAAACAAATCTTGATGCCTAAGCACAATTTTGCAACGCTGACATGTGTTAGTAAAACCGTACATATCACAACTACTTTGCACATCCAGGTGATCTATACCTTGTGTATTTCAGGACAAATTGGACTTCCATTTGGTGGTAAATGGTAATGGATATCTCCTGATTTTTTTTTTATTCTCAAAGGAAAACTGGCCCAAAATAGTAAAAAAAAAATATATATATATTTTTTTAATTTAGATATGTGTTTCTTGTTACTACCATAACGTACCACCAAAGAACAACCCTAAATAAATTTTCCAGCTCTTGACGATCGCAACGATACCATATATGTGTATGTTATTTGTTGTTTGTACCCACAGTACAGCCCAGAAACAATAGTGCGCATTTTGTTTTTTTGTTTACCTAAAACACACTGACGCTAATACCAATTTTTTTAAAATCCTGACCGTTGACCCAAACACTTACCCTGGCACTGAACTAGATCAAACCTTGATCTAGGTATTTTTTCTTTTTTTTAAATATTTATTTCTTTATTTTTTTTTAACAAACATTTTTTCCCCTCTATGCCAGAAGTTAGAGAGATACAATGTATCTCTCTTCTCCATTCATAAGAGAGAAAAAAAAACAAGGGGGCCGGGCTGTACTGTGACTGTTCACTGTAATAGCTAATCAGAGGCTATCACAGCGATCATGTGACCCTGAATCGGGAGTCCCCGATCGTTGGAACGGGACTCTCAGTGGCAACCCGGTCTTTGTGCTGGGAGCACGCAGTAAGGCACGCTCCAAGCACAAAGACTGGTACACAAATATATGGCCCCATGGAAAAAAGCCCAGTTCTGTTAGGCCGCATATTTGTGCTACGTCGGCATCAAGGGGTTAAAAAGCAGCCTTCAATCCACCCACTACAAAACTATTTTCTAGTCTTCCTTCATTACTATGAAATACAGCAATAATGTAATGTACATTAAAATGACACAAAAAAACTGTATAATAACTGCAATGTAGACATATAAGGGTTGATCTACTAAAACTGGAGAGTGCAAAACCTGGTGCAGCTGTGCACAGTAGCCAATCAGCTTCAAACTTCAGCCTGTTCACTTAAGCTTTGACAAAAAACCTGAAAGCTGGTTTCTATGCAAAGCTGCACCAGATTTTGCACTCTCCAGTATTAGTAAATCTATCCCATACAGTCAATAAAGCAGTGTATTTACAGCGGGTATAGAAAAGAATCACCCCCCCTTTAAAATAATCGCATTTTGTTGCTCAGCCTGAAATGAAGACAGTTTTTGTTTTATCACCAGCTTGTGTCAGTATTTTGCTGAACCACCTTTTGCTTTAATTACAGCTTACAGTCTGTTGAGATATGTCTCTACTAACGTTGCACATGTAGACTTTGCAATATTTGCCCACTCTTCTTTGCAGAACTGCTCAATTTCAGTTAGATTTGATGGTGACTGTGGACTGCAGTCTTCAAGTCATTCCACAGATTGTCAATGGGGTTTAAGTGTGGGCTCTGACTAGGCCATGCAAGGACATTCACCCTTTTCGCCTTCAACCACTGTGGGATCATTTTGCTGTGTGCTTTGGGTCTTTGTGATGTCAGAAGGTAAAATCTTCTTCCCATTGACAACTTTCTGGCAGAAGGCAACAAATTTTCCTCAAGAATGTGACAGTATTTTGCCCCATCTTGGTTTTCCTTCTATCCTACAAGTGCTCCAGTTCCAGTCCCCCCCCCCCCCCCCCCCCCAACATAACAGGATATACCATCTCCATGCTTTACTGAAGGAATGGTGGTATTTGGATGGTGGAGCTGTATTGGATTTCTGCCAGACATATCGTTTAATGTTCAGGCCAAATAATTCCATTTTAGTCTCATCTGACCATAACACCTTTTTCCATGTGACCTCAGAATCTTCAAGGTGCATTTTGGCAAAGCTCAGTGGTGACTTCATGTGGCCCTTCTTGAGGAGTGACTTTTTTCTTGCAGCCCTTCCATACAAGCCACATTTGTGGAGAATTTGTGATATTGTGCTGTAGGCTTCTCTGACCAGTTTTCTCCTGGCTTTTTCATCCAGTTTGGAGTGACGTCCTGATCCAGGGAGAGTCTGCATTGTACCAAATACCTTCCACTTCTTTATAATACACTTCACTGTGCTTCTAGGCATTTATAAAGCCTTTGACAGTTTTTTTTTGTATCCATCTCCTGACTTGCACCTGTCTGCAACTTTATCCTAGAGATCTTTTGACAGTGCCTTGCCACCTATAGTTGATTGTTTGCTTCAGTTGCACTACCAGGGACTGAAATGCCCCAGGAAAGCTATTTTCATGCTGAGCTAATCAAAATGACCACAGCTGATTACAATTGAAACTCAAATGGCTTTGTGTGCCATTAAGAAGGTGATTAGCTACAACTGATTGAGTTTACAAGTCATTTTTAGGAGGGGGTGATCCTTTTTCCAACTCAGTGATTCTGTTTTTGATCTTGTTATACCTTTTTCTGACATGGTAGTGCTATATCTTTCACTTGGATATTATAAGTTGCAAGTAAATACGGCTGTATAAAACAAGTACAGTGTCTGTCTTCATTTCAGGCTGCAAAGCAAAAAAATTTGATTATTTTAAGGGGGGGGTGATTCTTTCATACCCACTGTACGGTTAGAGATTAACTGTAAACTGTGAATTCTTTATTGTATCAAACACGTAAAGTAGGTACAATGCATACAGTATCTGTTAATAGGAGGTATAGAGTGGCTATTTATCCTAACAACCAAGATCTCCAAAGATTCTGTTGCTATCCAGGGCTAGGGGTGTATGAGTAGGCTTGTATAACCACCCATACCACATCTTCTCAAATATTTGAGAGCTACCTCTGTAGGTATAGCCTAGAATTTCCAAGTGCAAGAAAGAGTTCACTTTACATATCCAGAGACTTGAGGGAGGTTGAGGTGACAGCCAATGTTGTCCTATAGTTTTTCTGTCCAAGTATAAGATTATACCTATTGGCAGCTCTAGAGGAGAATTTTCAAAGGCAAATTCCAAAATTCCCAGCAGACCCATTTTTGGCCGAGGAAAACAAGAGAGTTGAAAAGGCAATTACAAACACTAATACTAGTACAGGATCAATTTTGCCCATTTCCAAAGCAAGTAAAAAGGGTTCCCCTGTCCCAAGATGCACCTAGGGCAAGCAGGGAATCTCTGCAACAAAAACTGTCCATTTTTAAGTGGGTCCAGTAAACTCCAGGTAATAAAAATAACTGTCTCATAGAAGTGGCAATCAAGATAAGAGATATTCTGTGCCATGCCATAAGCCAATGTTCTTTACTTATCTGGCCTAGGTCCTGGCCCCATTTGTGTTTACGTCATTGTTAGCAATTTATGTACAGTAGAGAAGGTTGTACAACTGTGCAAGATTGAAGGTAAGCCTGGAGTTCAGTTACAAGGATAAACAAGGATAAAGGGAAACTATGAAGGTAAGCCTGGAGTTCATCTACAAGGATAAAGGGAAACAATGAAGGTTAGCCTGGAGTTAATCTACAAGGATAAAGGGAAATGATGAAGGTTAGCCTGGAGTTGATCTACAAGGATAAACAATGAAGGTTAGCCTGGAGTTCATCTACAAGGATAAAGGGAAACGATGAAGGTTAGCCTGGAGTTCATTTACAAGGATAAAGGGAAACAAAGTTTAGCCTGGAGTTCATCTACAAGGATAAATGGAAACGATGAAGGCAAGCCTGTAGTTCATCTACAAGGATAAAGGGAAACTATGAAGGCAAGCCTGGAGTTCATCTACATCCTTGAAGATGAACTCCAGGCTTGCCATCATAGTTTCCCTTTGTCCTTATTTATTTATTCGTTTAGCCTGGAGTTCATCTACAAGGATAAAGGGAAACAATGAAGGTTAGCCTGGAGTTCATCTACAAGGATAAAGGGAAACGATGAAGGTTAGCCTGGAGTTCATCTACAAGGATAAAGGGAAATGATGAAGATTAGCCTGGAGTTCATTTACAAGGATAAAGGGAAACAAAGTTTAGCCAGGAGTTCATCTACAAGGATAAATGGAAATGATGTAGGCAAGCCTGTAGTTCATCTAGAAGGATAAAGGGAAACTATGAAGGCAAGCCTGGAGTTCATCTACATTCTTGTAGATGAACTCCAGGCTTGCCATCATAGTTTCCCTTTGTCCTTATTTATTTATTCGTTTAGCCTGGAGTTCATCTACAAGGATAAAGGGAGACAATGAAAGTTAACCTGAAGTTCATCTACAAGGATAAAGGGAAACTATGAAGGCCAGCCTGGAGTTCATCTACAAGGATAAAGGGAAACTATTAGGTTAGCCTGAAGTTCATCTACAAGGATAAAGGGAAACAATGAAGGTTAACCTGGAGTTCATGTACAAGGATAAAGGGAAACTATGAAGGCCAGACTGGAGTTCATCTACAAGGATAAAAGGAAACTACAGTATGAAGGCCAGCCTGGAGTTCATCTACAAGGATAAAGGGAAACGGTTAAAGTAATTCTGGAGTTCTACAAGGATAAAAGGAAACAATTAAGGTAATTCTGGAGTTCATCTACAAGGATGAAAGGAAATGATAAAAGTAATTCTGGAGTTTATCTACAAGGATAAAAGGAAACAATGAAGGCAATCCTGGAGTTCATCAACATCCTTGTAGATGAACTCCAGGCTTGTCATCATAGTTTCCCTTTGTCCTTATTTACTTATTCATTTATTCATTTAGCAAGGCTGGAGTTCATCTACAAGGATAAAGGGAAACAATGAAGGCAAGGCTGGAGTTCATCTACAAGGATAAAGGGAAACGATGAAGGCAAGGCTGGAGTTCATCTACAAGGATAAAGGGAAACGATGAAGGCAAGGCTGGAGTTCATCTACAAGGATAAAGGGAAACGATGAAGGCAAGGCTGGAGTTCATCTACAAGGATAAAGGGAAACGATGAAGGCAAGCCTGGAGTTCATCTACAAGGATAAAGGGAAACGATGAAGGCAAGCCTGGAGTTCGTCTACAAGGATAAAGGGAAACGATGAAGGCAAGCCTGGAGTTCGTCTACAAGGATAAAGGGAAACGATGAAGGCAAGCCTGGAGTTCATCTACAAGGATAAAGGGAAACGATGAAGGCAAGCCTGTAGTTCATCTACAAGGATAAAGGGAAACGATGAAGGCAAGCCTGGAGTTCATCTACAAGGATAAAGGGAAACTATGAAGGTTAGCCTGGAGTTCATCTACAAGGATAAAGGGAAACTATGAAGGCAAGCCTGGAGTTCATCTACAAGGATAAAAGGGAAAGTATCATGTTGCCCATTCAGAGCAAATAATCAGTACTTGCAGGTATAGCCAATTTCCTGGCCATGAACAATGTCAAGTGGCAACGCAAAGATGATCATCTTCACTCTGTAACGGCTTACTCAGGGTTCTGGCAGGCGGACAGGGCAGCTGGGGAGTGCGGGGAAGGCAAGTATGAGTGGCCTATAAAGAGAACCTGTCACTATGCATTAACATTAAATAAACAAAATAACAGATTCATTTTAAGTGTTGCGTTTTACAGTGTATGGTTAGGATGAGGGTAAGGTATCAGTGCAAGAGTCAAGGTAAATGTTAAGGTAAAAGTTACAGGATTAGGTTAACGCTCGTTTTAAACACATGAAACCCTCCCCCCTCCCAATCCCATGCCAAAACACTACCAGTACTAATATTGCAGACCTGAAACTGGAATTCCTGCCTGATGTATACCCTTTCACCAACTTTTTGACAAATGAGGCCCACTTCTATCTGGCCTCCATTTTATTCTCACCTTGGACATGAAATCACTTTCAGTCCTCTCCTTCAAGGCATCAGCTGGCTTTTGCTCATAACACTTGTAGGTCTCCAGGTAGCGGCCCGCCTCCTCTGGACTGCAAGAAATAGGCACAGTGTTAAAGTTATTGTAAAAAAGCCTCAACATTCCAAAAGAAACAACAGTGGACCCTTACAAAACAAAATCCTGGTCAAAATTTAGAAATGAAAATGCAGACATTCATGCCCCTTTCACAGTCCTGTATACAAACATGAATATATTTAGGGAAAACCATACTAAAATAATATTTATGGAGCCAGGGGATCCCCAGGCAGGACAGAGCTTGCCCTACTCTATTCCTGCAAGACGTGGACTGTTCATTAAAAGGGAATCAAACTCACCCCCCCCCCCTTTCCCCCCAATCAGCATGTTCCTATTTCTGAGACACATGCTGCATTCCACATAACACACATTGCAAATCATTGTTTGTTGCACAGGTAAAAATATTGTAAGCTGCAATATTTTAATGTTGTACTGCAAATCAGGGATGGACTGACAACTCATGGGGCCCCCCGGGTAATAGGGGATCATGGGGCCCCTGTGTCCTTGCCCACACTCAAAGCACACCCAAAAAAGCCTATAAAAAAAATTTCATGGGGTCCCCTACTGACACCGGGTCCTCAGGCAGTGCCCGAATGGTCAGTCCGCCCCTGCTGCTGATAGTTTATCAGGCCCAAGTGTTTAATGTTTGTTTGAGGTATATACAAAACAGCTTATTGGTATACATCAATCATCCATAACATTATGACTGCTGATAAGTAAAGTGAATAACATTAATTATCTTGTAACAATGGAATCTGAAAGTGGGTGGGGTATATTAGGCAGAAAGTGAACATGTTTCCCTTAAGTTCATGTGTTGAAAGCAGAAAAAAGGGCAAGTGTAAGGATTTGAGTGACTTTGACAAGGGCCAAAAATGGCTGGACGACTGGGCCAGAGCAATCTCTAAACCTGCAGATCTTGTGGGATGTTCCCGGTCTGCAGTGGGCAGGACCTAACAAAAGTGGTCCAGGGAAGGAAAACCAGTGAATAGGCAACAGGGTCATGGGTGGCCAAGGCTCTTTGATGCACATGGGGAGCGAAGGCTGGTCTGTGTAGTCTGATCCAATATAAGAGCAGCTGTAGTTCATTCCCATGCAAAAGTTAATTCCCATGCAAAAGGTGTCATAACACACAATGTATCGCAGTTTGTTGTGTATGGGGCTGCGTAGCCGCAGACTAGTCAGGGTGCCCATGCTGAACCTACAACTGACACATAAGCATCAAAACTGGACCACTGCGAAATGGAAGGTGGTGTATTTGAGATGATAACTCTAAATTCTCCAGATCTCAACCAATTGAGCATCTGTGGGAAGTGCTGAAAAAACAAGTCTGATCCATGGAGCACCCACTTCTCAACTTACAGATCTTAAAGGATCTGCAACTGGTGGCTTGGTGCCAGATACCACAGCATACCTTCAGCAATCTAGTGGGGTTCATGCCTTGATGGGTCAGGGTTGTTTTGGAGGCAAAAGGGGGACCTACTGGGTGGTAGGTGGGTGGTCAAAATATTAGGGCTGATCAGTGTAAATATAAATCATAAAAAAATGGTTAAGAAAACAGCATTTTTATTCAGCATCAATAAGCAGTCACCTCCAGCTTAGTATCAGGGTGAGGTCGGAAAGGATGCAGATTTTGGCTAGTTCCTTCAGTGCGAAATGGGGGTCTTTCTGCAAACAGAATATAAATGTTGATAAATCAAATTTATTTTAAGAAATCAGCACAAATAGAAACATTTGATATGCATACAGGGCACTGACCACATCTACTTGCACCAGGAGGACCCGTAGAGCGTAGGCCTGGCCCAACGTCTTCAGCCGGCTGTGTACGTACTCTGGGTTCAGGTTGTGATATCTCAGACTGAAACCACAAAAGGACTGTTCAAAAAAGATCCATTTAAAAGTCAAAAAAACTTCTGACAATACTAGCTGCCTGGCTGTTATGTTAATCCTCAGACTTCAATACAAGTAAACGAATGAAGAACATCAGAGTAGAGTCAGACATCCTGCAGACTTATTCCAGGTCAGCCAAAAGGCATTTTCTGAATGTGATGTCAACACTGGAAGCCCATACATTTCTGGTCAGGCAAGACTCCTTTTAAGTGCATCTAAACCAAAGAACAGAAATGAAATAATTTGCAGCTTTCCAGATGTGGTCGCTGCTCCTGTTTTCATTTGTCGGGCTTTGTTTCCTTTTTTTCCTTAGTAACACATTTCTTTTCAAGGGAGGCAACACTCGTTCATCGTACTGTATCTACGGAGGAGCAGCGTGGTCATTCTAGGATAGAACTACAGATACCTTACCCTCTCTTTAACATAGGAGGGAGGTGTTCTGTAGTTCACAAAGCTGCTATGGGCGGTGCTGATTAACAGAATAAAAGGGAGCAAACAGGAGACATTCACTGTTGGCGTTTACATACACTTCAGTGTTACTAAACCCACAACAGTAAAATCAGTATGCCTATGCAGTAAACCATTCTTGTTATACTCACTGTGGAACCTAAGGGCTTAAACTTACACATTGTGTAAAAAGGCTGTTTGATCCTGTCTTCTCTAATCCTCCCCTTCTTCTACTGTCCCCAATCCATCTCCTGATAGAACAGAGCCTTGGGGGCAAGCTACACATGCACAGTTTGCTGGTAGAGCGCATGTGATCAGCACAGGGCCAACCAACACTGTCTAGACAGAGGGTCAGGGGTTCTGCAGCTTCATCAGAGGAGAATGAAAACTCCTCCTACAGGCTTTAACCAGTGCTCTGCTGGACACTGACAAGACTGCTGTAACTGCTAATGAGAAAAGTTATTTAGCAGTTTATATTTACAATAATTGAATTTCCATGTTCTTTGTACTGTGGGAGACCAGGTATTGTGAATGCAGGGTCCTAGGTTTAGTAACACTTTAAAATTACCATGTCAATCCACAGTCTGGATTTTTCTAAAACAGCCAAAAAATGAAAAAAATGTCTGTCTGTCTTTAAGCTATGGTAACACACAGGTTTTAGATGGCATTTCTGACAATCCTTATTTCCTTTTCCTTGCAATCGGCTTACTGCCAGCTTACAGCTGAAGGTAAAATTGAAATGCCCAACTCTATCCCCCAATAAAATAAGGTGACAAGTGCCTAACCTGGCCATTTCTTTAGGTGGATTTCAACCATGCCAGACAACTGTTTGTGGAAAGAGCCAACTGGGAGTGTTAGCATATTGCCCCCCCAAACCCACAAACCTGCTCCTCCATACTTTCATCCTCCCTTTCACAACTCCCATACCCCTGACCTTTCCGCTTACCTATACTACCCTCCCCACCTCTAGTCTTAACGCTCAATAAAATACACACCGACCACTATCCTGGCTGAGAGACACTACCAAATTCATTGTATTGATTAGTCAAACCCCACGGGTCTTCCACTGATCCATAGCTCCAGCTACAGAAAACACAAGTTTATACAAACCCATGTCTAGTCCCTGACTTTGGAAACCATCACATGTACATGTTACTGCCCAACTCTACTCCACGGCCATTCAAAGCAGCAAATTTTTGTTCTCTTGAAGTATATAACATTTGTGCATTGTTTTCTACCTGTTTAACCACTTGCCCTCCTGAGGATTTACCCCTTACCAGGCCATTTATTGAGTTACAGCGCTGCGTTACTTTAACTGACAATTGCGTGGTCATGCAACGCAGCACCCAAATGAAATTTACGTTCTTTTTTTCCCACAAATTGAGGTTTCTTTCGATGGTATTTGATTGCCTGTGCGTTTTTTATTTGTTGCGCAAAGCAAAAATAAGCAAAAAAAAAGACTGACAATTTTGAGAAAAAAAACAATATTTTGGACTTTTTGCTATTAAAAATGTCCAGTAAAGAAATTAAAAAAATATAATTTCATCATATATTTAGGCCAAAATGTATTCTGTGACATGTTTTTGCTGAAAAAAAAATCCCAATACGTGTAAATTAATTGGTTTACATGAAAGTTATAGCATTTACAAATGGCGGTATATATACTGGAATTTTTTTTTTTCCTACGAGTAATAACGGCAACTTTTAGCAGGACTGCTGCGGACATTCTGACACTGGGGCGGAACTAACTTGGTGTCACTGACAACCCCAGTGACAACAATACAGTGATCAGTGCTAAAATACAGCACTTACACTGTACTAATGGCACTGAGTAGAAAGGGGTTAATTGGAGGGGCGATCAAAGTGTTAACTATGTACTGGGAGTGTTTTTTACTAGGGGGTGGGGGGGTGTGATTCACTGTAAGCACACTGATCGGGATGGCTGTGCACAGCCATCCCGAGCAGTGTGCCCAAGCTGACAGGGAGGAAGACTGTTTGTAAACAAAATCTCCGTCGGTGATTGTTGGTAATCACTGGGCGCCAATAAAAATCACACACACACACATATATATATATATATATATATATGTGATTTTGTGCACCCGTGCGGTTAAAGCCCTGTCACCTGCTTGCAGTTTTGTTTTGAACAAACACTGAGCTGCAAATGCTCAGCTCAGTGTGCATCCCTGGCAGCTGTGCCGGAATGGCAGATTCTCATGCACATGTGCGAGATGACTTCATTCCCTGACCAGCCAATCAAGAGGCCAAAAGCCTGGCACTCAGAAAATAGCTGGGGAGAAGATGACAACAGCTGGTGAGGGATTCAACTGGAATGGCACTGCTGTAAACGGGATAAACCTATTACAAGACAATTTTATGGTACACTTCAGAGAGGCCCCCAACTAGAAACGATGCTCTGCTGGTCATTAGTAACACCTCATCTGGAATATGCAGTGCAGTTTTGGGCACCAATTCACAAAAAGGATATTGGAGAACTGGAGAACATGCAAAGAAGGGCAACCAAACTGATAAGAGGCATGGAGGAGCTCAGCTATGAGGAAAGATAGAGGAACTGAATTTATTCTCTCTTGAGAAGAGGAGATTAAGGGGGGATATGATCAACATGTATAAATACATCAGTGGTTCATATAGTGAACTCGGTGTAGAGCTATTCATCCTGAGGTCACAACAGAGGACAAGGAGGCACTCTTTACGTCTGGAGGAAAAGTGATTTAACCTTCACATACGGAAAGGCTTCTTCACACTAAGGATCGGTTCACACTGGACACCACACGTAAATCACACAGGAACCGCACCACATACCTGTGCAATTCATATGCGATTCAGTGTGGTGTGACTTGAGTCCATTCATTTTGAATGGGCTCAAACCGCACCTCATCGCCCCATTTTTGGAGCTGCACCGTTTTGCAACATGCGATCCAGTATAGGCAATGCACTGCATTTTCGATCTGAGTTTGGGGTGTCGTTAACTATGTACTGACAATCGCAGCAGATTGCAAGGGCAGTGGGATTGGAATTCCCACACCGCATTAGTGTAAACCTACCCTAAGTGTGATGAAAATGTGGAATAGACTCCCTCAAGAGTTGGTTCTGGCCAGCTCAGTAGATTGCTTTACAAAAGAGCTGGATGCATTCCTAAATGCACAAAATATAACTGGATATTAATTTTTATGGGTATTAACACCAGGGGCAGTTGATTCAGGGAATACCTGGATGCCTCATGGGGGATCAGGCAGAAATGTTTTTCCCCCACTGGAGTGAACTTGATCATGTTTTATTGGGTTTTTTGCCTTCCTCTGGATCATCTGTGGGTATAGAACTGTGTATATGTTTTTTTTATATTTTATTGGTGATATAAATGGACTAGTGTCTTTTATCAACCTAACTATGTAACTATGAATAAGGAGCTGAGTGATTCTGTGAGTTTAGTTTAAGCTTATTACTGTACTTGTCGTAAATTTAAAATAAATAGTTTTGTAAAAGGAAAAAATTGTTCCTCCTCTATTCTCTGTACAGGAGTGTTGGCCGAGCAGAATAAAAAAAAGTTACTTTCAAGATTAGTGGTTTATGTGACAGCTTTGGGCAAATCAACACTGTCACACAGGGCATTTATAGCTCTATTTAAGTTACTTGTAAAGCTGGTCATAGATGGATTGTTTTTTTTTTTCAGAGAGTAGACTGATCAAAAGAACTGAAAAAACACAAAAACAAATGGGTTCCCCCAACCACACAGTCACGGTGGATGAAGGAATCCTCACCCCTGGAATTTTCCCAGCAGGGGATCCTCCTCTGTCAGAATAAACTGATCAACATAGCAGCTGATTGGTTGCAGTGTCGATCAAATGCAAATTCCCCAACATTTTTGTTCGTAAGAAGTACATCATCATAAGCTATAGTGACATACAGTCAGACAATTACCATATAAACAAAAACACCTGCGCTCTATTAGCTCCCTCTATACTAAATAGCTGCTGTAATGCACACAGTTGTGTGTGAAACCAAATCTCACCCACAATATATATACAGCGCTTACATAATTAAGCAAATTAAATAAAGCGCAATAAACAATTAAAGGGCGGAGCTACAGGAAATGACGGTCCAGTGACCTGGAAGTGGTGAGACACGCTTGCACTGTGGAGCGACCTGAGCGATCAGAGCAAGAGCGGGCTGGGTATGAGATTGAGCGTTTAAAACCTATGTGCAGGGCAAAATGCACTATTAAATGTGAGCAGGAAACCAATGGTTTTAATGTATGTTATGTAAGTTTTTAATAAAGGGTATTTTACACTATTGGAGTCTCTTTTTCCCTCCTACGTACGTGATACCTTTGGCGAAGCTATAAGTGAGGAGCATGGCGGAGTTACCAACTGGAGTGGGGTCTCTATACATACAACAAGAGCATGTATACCAACTCTTAAGTGAGAAGGTGTCACGTACCTGACCGAGGCTGAGGTGAAGAGGGCTCCCCTTATGGCTGAGTGCAATGCACCCCTGAAGGTTTTAACAGAAGGTGCAGTGCCCAAAGAAGCACGGGTTGCCAGTGGTATGGATGTTTGGTGCTGCCCGAAGCCTGTGGGTGGACCAGGTGCAGGAGGGGGTCTTCCAGTGAAGTCAGAAGCCAGAGCCGGGGTCAAACACATAATTTTTTTTTTTTCTATGGTTGAACTGGATGGATTTTTGTCTTTTTTCAGCCAGACTAACTATGTAACTGTGCAAGGTCAGTGTCAAGCCGGGGTCATACACTGGTAATCAATCAGTAGTAGACAGGAGCAGATTTGTGGAACAAGCAGAAGTAGGGAGCCAGGAGAAGAGCCAAAGCAGGTCAAGGTCAAACTGGGTCGGTAACAGGTAATCAAGCAGGAGAATGAACACGGGAACAGGAGGCTGACGATAATCCAGCAATTTCTTGTGAGGAGAGATGCAGTCCTTATAAAAGCCACTGAGTCTCAGCAATTATCACACCCTGCGTGTGCAGGTGCGCGTTCGCGCACATGGATGCGCGATAATGTGTCGTGCGCCTATTCGCACATTTTTGCGTGCATTAGCGTGGCCATATTGGGCATTGGCGCTTTTGCCAGGGCTTCCTCGTCTTTTTCCCTGACAGAAGGTCATGGCTGTCTGGTGAGTTCTCAGTAGTAGTGGTGGCACATGGAGGTGGGGTGGAGCACAAACAGCAAAGATTTGAAGTGGTCGAATTGCATGAAGCACTTTATTTACACAGAAGAAAAGTTATATACCATTGCACTTTTTTGTGAAAGAGCTGTTGCACTTTATGGACAGATGTATAAATTTGAAGGACATATAAGAGGAACTTTATATATTTAAGGAATCATAAGTTTATACAGTATAATAGCAATTGCACCCGTAGAAAAGTTTATTGCACTTTAATTACCGGTAATTTGCATAAGCGCTGTATATTGAGGGTTATATATAGTCAGACAATTAGCTGCGTCCAGAACCGCCATCTCTGGACGCACACTGTCTGCATCCAGGGATAGTCAGAGGCCCCGATCGCATGTAACCACTTGGATGTGATTCATGGCTCAAACTTTGGCAGTGTATCAATGATAGAACATAGAAACAGTGACTCACCTAAGGAACAGAGCACAGCAAGTCTCCCCCAACACATAGTCTGGTACAATGTCTCCAAACTCCCATGGGATATTCCGGACATGCTTAAGAAGAGGATTCCCCCTCTGTAGGAAAGAGAAATCTAGAGATGCAGAAAACATTTTATAACTCATTAAGGGTTCATGCACACGGGGCTTACACAGGTTTCACATTTGGAAAATACATCAGACGAGTAAGCACAGGTAAGCAACGGCATTTATAACAACACAACCGTTTACAGCTATTCACGAATATGGCAGGCTCTACACAGCATGTGCAATTCCCTGGGTGCGGGAGGTCACTCTCTGCATGCACAGAGGTCACTTCAACTCTTTTACAACAGTACAAATCTTACTGGCAGGAAGACACTTAATTTAACATCCATGTTTTGGGATTTTAGGTGGAAACTGGAGAAGATGCAGCAAATGCAAATATGGAAAGAACATACAAATTCCATGTAGAGTGCTCTGGTGGACCCAGGACCCCAGTGCTGGAAGGCAATCAACGTAACCAATGAGCTGGTGCGCAGCACTTAAAGTACTGCTGTGAACTTAAAGAACTAAGCACGACATTACCTTATTTGTTAAAGAGAAGGAAATGTGGAGGCTTCTTCTGCTGAACTTCTTCAAAAAATGCTATTTTTTTTTTGTCTAAGTCCACGGAAGTGCGAAAAAATGAAAAACCCGTAAGTAAACAAGAAACGTGCAAGTGCAAAACACAAACACAAAACAGTGCTTTGTCCACCCTAAAGGGGTAGGACCTCTACCATGATCCCTAGGGATGCAAGGCTCCTGACAGGGACAAAGGGTTTCCAACTTGGTCCGCCTAGCCAAAAGGCCTGGCAGACCCCTTTCCCTGTGGCTAGCCGGTGCGGACCACCATATACTTGGTCGAGGGGCTATCCCAAAGAGAGACCCCCCCAAGGATCGGGGGAGGAAGGAACTTAAGGACCACACATTCTCCCGCTAGACTTCAGGACAGGCCCGAGAACCCACACCCTCCATCCAGTGAGAAAAAAAAACACACACATAGGTGAAAGATGACAGACACGTGGAGAAAAATAAATAAATATGTGACCCTGCATTTCTGCACTGGCTAGGCCCTGAGGCATGTAGCAAAAAAATTGCCCTGGACTTGGCCAAAAGGCCGAGCCCTAAAAGGCGCAGTGCAGATAAAGTGTGACAATGTGCACTTTTCACACGTGGGATCCCATCCCCATATGTTACTAACAGCACCCCTGGGGCGACCACTCCCAGGGGGCACAGCTGCATGGATTTTCTGCCACCCCTGGCCCCTGGCCAGATGAGGTAGATCCATTCAGATCAGGAGGAACTGGGCCCCTCTGGTTTTCCGGGGGGAATTTCTCCCGGGTCCCAACAGCCTGTGGGTGCCTCGGTTTCAGCTGATACTAGCCTTCAGAGCCCCCATCATACCAGCAGGAGGACTATACAGCTAGCCATCCTCACCAAAAGGCAAGAATGATGGTAGAGCACCCCTGCTGGACACTGATAAGAACAGATACTACAATTGATCTTAGCCAAAAGGCCGTGATGCGATGTGAATCTCAGAATTAAAAACAGAATAACTGACCACAAACAAGCAGGCAGATAAGCCCTTCATACATCACTTTCTGAGCAACTGGCACACAATAGGCACACATGCAGCAAGTACTGAATTCGGAAGGCACTATTTATTGGTCACCAAAACAGAAATTGAGGAAAATCTTCCAGTGGCATCTGTCTCTTAGTGTTGTGTTTCCAAGACAGGAAGTGAAGGCAAATCTACCACATGGAACACAGTCTGGCAGGGGTTTTAACTCTTCACTACTCTATCCCAAAGTTACAAAAACATTTTGCATCTGAAAACTGCAAGTAGTTTAGTAGCTTTCACACTGCTTCTAAAATGCACTATGCGTTTGTAAAAAAAAAACACATAGCGTGATTAAACGCATTGAAGCAGCGCATATGGGGTGAATAGCTGGTTGTTAATAACTTAATAACTGGCTATTCATTGGTTGTTAAGGATGCCGGCGGGTGGTTGTTAAGGAGCCAGAACCTGCCAGCGTCCTTAACAACAAGCAGATAGCTACATATACAGTACTCCCCTGTACCTACATGGTGAGCACCAAGCTCCTCTCTGTTTGAGTCGTCCGGCTGGCAGTGCAAACAGAGCCCACCATCTTGCAGACGACACTGCGGGGGGGGGGGGTTTCCAGAACTGGGTAGGAAAGCAGGGAACTGTGAACCACTGTGATTGTGTGTGGAGGTGAAGGGGGCGGACCAAACCTTGGAAGAGAAACTGGCCTAGAAATCCAAGAACAGCTCAGGCAGAATTTGAGGGGAGGAGAGGTGGGTGGCTGAACCAATCATTGAACAGACCAAGGAGGTATGGGGGCGGGGGGGGGGGGGGCACGTGTGTTCATATTTACTGGTTGTTAAGGACGCTGGTGGGTGTCAGCTCTGTAACTAGCATCTTAAACCAAAAAGTGTAATCTGATCCCAAAACGCATTAAAAAAACGCAGCTTCTATGTGTTTTTTGGTGCATTTTTGGTGTGTTTTCCATTGACCAACAATGGAAGGTGTGTTTTTTGCTGCACTTTTCAAAAGAACACCATAGATGCAGCATGTAGGACTTTTTAGAATGCAGCACAGCAATGTGAAAAGTCACATAGGATTTAAGGGGATATCATTTTGATCCACTTTTGTTGTGCTGGAAAGGTGCCTTCTAGCATGGCAAAAATGCACCAGTATGAAATTGGTTTAACACAGGCAACTGTTCCTCCAGAGATGTTCACACATGAAGCTTGTTTTCTCTTACCTGTCGTGTGCTGACCACAATACAGCTCTTCCCACCAACTGACTTTACCGCTGCGATGGCTGATGGTCCTCCAGTAGAACTCGCTACCTTCACAAGGTCCCCCTTCCCATTTTCAATCCTCTGTTCTGTCCCCAAACCTTCATTCCCACTTAGAGGCTTCTCTCTTGAACCCAAGTCTGTATTCATGGTTTTAGGATATTGTTGTAGACTGGAAGACTCCTCCTGCATCTTCTGTTGTGAACTCAAATTCTGTACCAAAGATTTGTGCTCCAGACTAGAAATCTGCTTGACATCTACATTCTTTCGTTCTGGACCCTTGGGCTCCGATTTGAAAATATAATCAGCATAACTGCCGCCTGAAACATCTGCAGATGAAGATGACGAAGGGGCATGAAACAAAGAACGCACCTGTCAGATGAAAAAAAAAACAAAAAACAAAAAGAAATGAAAAGCCAGTGTTGGTGGGCTTTTATTTGCTGCAAGCATTCCAGTACTCGGTTGGGAATGCAAAATCCATTTGAAGAAGGTCAAAAGGAAGACAACTGCAAATCAAACGGCCCTGTCAAGGAATTCTCCCTATCTACTGTCAGCTTTTCTTCCCCCCAAAATCATGCACACATCACTCCCATACTTAAAAAGCCCTCGCTGGACCCCACCAACCTGAACAACTTAAGACCCATCTCGCTGCTCCTATTCACCTCTAAACTTTTAGAATGCTTAGTCTACAACCGTCTTACCTCCTACCTCACTGTAAACAACCTACTTGGCTCCTTAAAGTCTGGCTTTCACTCGCAGCACTCCACAGAAACTGCCCTACTAAAACTCACTAATGATTTACTAACTGCTAAAACCAATGGCCATGACTCCATACCCTTACTACTGGACCTCTCTGCAGCCTTTGATACTGTTGACCACCCACACCTTCTCAATAAACTCCATTGCCTTCCTTGGCCTCCAAGATTCTGCTCTATCCTGGTTCTCCTCCTACATATTACAGCACTCCTTCAGTGTTACCTATAATTCTGTGTCCTCCTCTCCACTTCCTATTTCTCAAGAGGTACCCCAACGCTGTGTGCTTGGACCCCTTCTCTTCTCTTGGTCACCTGATAACCTCCCGCGGTTTCCAATACCATCTCTATGCCGATGACAGGCAAACCTATTTATCTACTCATCACCTTACTCCTTCAGTCTCCTATCGCATTACTAACTGACATATCAGCATGGATGTCGCACCACTTCCTTAAAGTAAATCTCTCCAAAACCAAGATGATAATATTCACTCCCGCTTGTGCCCCCCCCCTTTGTAACTTTTCCATCAAGATCAATAATGCAACTATCAGTCCCTCCCTTCAAGCCAGGATATTAGGTGTAATGCTAGACTCTGACCCATCCTTTTGGCCCCAAATCCAATCATTCTCAAAAGCTTGTAGACTTCACCTCCGTAACATCTGTAAAATTCACCCCTAGTTATTTTTTTTATTGTATTGTATCACTGCACTGTCTCCATTTATATTTTAAAGCGCTGCACAAACTGTTGGTGCTATATGAAACCTGTATAATAATAATTCTGTATGATCTCAGAAGCATCTCAAACTAATGCCATTGACACAAGCTCAAAAAGGACCTGTCAACAATAACCACAGGAAAGCTTTACAGAAGTCTAAGAGGACTTTTTTTTTTGTTTTAGTTAGGTTAGGTGTAGCAGCAATAACACTTTGGTGAGCTTCTGTGGGCCTTTGAAAGAGCTGCTCAAGTCGAGACCTGAACTTGTCCGTTTCTGTGGACCCATAACAGCCACAACTGGAATCTGAATACCTACCACAAACTCACTTTTGATGATGCTCGTACAAGCTACTTCTCCTTTAGAATAGCTTGAGGTACGTTGGTGCAGCTTAGAAGGTGGTCAGCTGCAGGTCAAATGCACCTGTGAATGATCTCAGAAGCATTTCAAACCAGTCTTCAATACAGGCTGAATGCACCTAAAAACATGCTGCATTTGCCCATTGACACATACCCTTAAAGCTGAATACTCAGTATTTAACTACTTTCTAAAATATGCTGGATTACTATGGGTTAAGTCAAGAAAGGTGTATGCTACCTCAGGCTTATCTATTTAATATACAAGTTACATTTTTACTGAGCACCAGGAGCATAACTATCACTGTATACTTGTGGCACTCTGACAATGGACCTTCTGGTCTCAGTTCCTGCAGTTGCAGAGTTGCATGTAGCAGCTCTGCTGGCACCTCCCCTCTTCCTAACCAATCACAGAGCAGAACCCATTCACAAAATACAAAGCGTACTATGAATGGACAG